TCACCATATACCAGTTTGTTTAGTAGGGCTGCCATAATAAAGTAACACAGACTGGGCAGTCTAAACAACAACAGTTTATTTTCTCACAATTCTGGAAGCTAGAAGTCCAAGATCCAGGTGTTGGTACCTTGAGGTCTCTCTCCTTGACTTGCAGACAGCCATCTCCTCCCTGTCTTCACATGGTCTTCCCTCTGTACCTGACTATACATTTCCTCTTCTTATAAGGACACCCATCATATTGGATTAGAGCCCACCCTAATGATCTCATTTTAAATTAATTACCTTTTTAAAGGCCCTATCTCCAAATACAGTCACACTCTGAAATACTGGGGGTTAGGACTTCAACATAGAAATTTTAGGGGGACACAACTCAGCCCACAACAGGCAGGTACTGATCCATACTCTTTACATGCATTATTTTACAACAATCCTGTCACTGTTATTTTAATTTTATAGATGATAAGACTGAGGTATAGAACGATTAAGTACTTGCCTAAATTCTTAGCAATCAATAGACCTGGGGCTTAAACCCAAATAATCACCCACAAAAGCTTACGGAGTACTGAAGAATGGGGTTAGGATTTTGTTCTTTATCCTAAGAACAATGGGAAACCATTGAAGGATCATTCTACTTGCTAAACCAACTGAAGAAAATTCAGAGATCTTAGTCTCACTTTTTTACAGATGAGGAAGCTGAGCCTTGTCACTTTTTTTTCAATATATCACACCCCGGCTAAGCCTCCATATAACTCAGAAATCTTGAAGGTAAAATATTTGTAGAGTTGGCCTCCTGCAGGAGTGAACTATTTGACACAGGTGGGTATGTATTTGAAAGGTAAGTATGGTATAGGTGAGCTATATGCTATGCTGGGCTCCCCACACAGAATAAGAAAGTTGAAAATTTCAATTCTTCCCTAGGACAAAAGCTTAATCTTGGTCTGTTCCTTGGGCAGCCAGAAGCGGAGAAATTCCAATTCAGCATCAAAATGTCAATTGAAAGAGGAAAACAACAGCTTCGCCTAATATTTTTTAACAGCTTTATTGACATATAATTTATATCCTGTAAAACTCACCCGTTTTAACTGTACAATGATTTTTAGTAAATGTATAGTGAAACTATCCCCGCAATCCAGTTTGGGAGCATTTCTATCACACTAAAAAAATCCTTAATAACCGTTTGATGTCAATCCAAGGCCCAGTCCCGCCTCCAAACCCAGGTGTGCCTAATTATTTTTAAGTGTGTTTTACTGAATAGAAATGACCTTATAGACCCAAGATGACTCTAAAAGAAAGCTAAGACTAGGCTCATAATGAATTTGAGGCATATGTGTTCACTAGTGCACGAAAGTATGTCAAAGCTTGCTCTATATGTGAAGTATTCCTTCATTCATTCTCTGAGAAAAACCCCAATTTGGCTTCCCTACGTGGACCTTATTATCTAAATGGAGCAAAAGCAGAAAGCGCGATACCCTGCACGCTAGCATCTGCGTGGGAGGCGAGCGCACGGCAAGTGCCAGCAGGTGAAGAGTAAAGTGCATCGCAGGTGTGCGCCTGCGCAGCTTCGCGCCCGCCTACAAGCGGGTAACCAAAATACCTGGCTCGGGACCCGTCGGTTCCGCCGTTGCGGCGTCGCCGTTTCGGATCTGAGTGCCCATCCGTGATACCCAGAGAATCCAGACCTGGCAAATAACCCCTACCCCCTTGCTTTCCCTACCCAGAGCTCACGAGAAGCGCCCAGATTCCCAGGCCTCGCGGCCTACCTGCCAGGGAAGCCGCTCCCCAACTTTCTCCCCTCTAGCCCCACCCCTCATCCTGCCAGGCCGCACCTCCTTGGTCGCTGAAGGGTCTAGTCCCTCCCCTTCGGGCCGACGCCAGCAGCCACGTACCACGTTTCTACGAGTCTCGGGCCTAAAAGCGGAAGTTACGCAGGAACTCGCGAGCGCAGGGGCGGCACTGGAAGGATATAGGCTGCTGAAGGAAGGGGGCGGGCAGACGGCATTGGCAGGCGCCGGAAGTGGTCGCGCAGAGGAAGGGTGGGAGAGGGTTTGCCGAGGCAGTTTGCTTGGCTGTATGTAGCTGGGCGCCTCTTGAAGGCGCACTCTCGCTCCTTTCCGAGTGCCTAGCACAGTCTCCCCCGCTTCAGCCAAACATGGACTTCAGGGAAATACTCCTGATAGCTTCCAAAGGACAAGGTGTCAACAGTGTGCCGGTAAGTAGCTGCTGGGCGTCACTGTAGGAGACCCCAGTCTTCAAGTTCAGAATGTGTGGCCCGTGGAACTTCTAGGCAAGCCGCCTGTGGGCTCCAGGAGAGGAAAGACCTGGGTGGTGGGTCTGTACTCTTGGGGGCTCCGAGTGAAGAGGTGCTTGGGACACGATGCGGGAGCCGTCCTTTGAGTAGGTTTCGCCGGTTTATTTACTCATGCAACAGGGATTTTGCGGTTTCGGTATTTTAATTAGAATTGCCTGAAAGCACTGAGTGAGCGGTGCCTGGCACATACTGAAATCTAGCGCTAGTAGTTTCCGACTTCGGCATAAACTTCAGCCCCAAGGTTGGGAAGTTCAGGGGTCTTAGGGACATGGCCTGAAAGTCTTTGGCTGGTTTTTCGCCGATTTTCGGATCAAACGTTTAGTAATTTCTTGAACGAATTCTCTGACTCGGCCCCACCCACTCAGCCAACAAGATGATTAAATTATCACCTTCCAAGGGGAGAGTATCACCCTTTGTACGGGAAAGAGAAGTTTAGTAGATTCCACGAAATCCTTGGCTAGCAGAATGGGTGAGCCAGTTTCAGCTTCCGTTTACTTGTGGCCTTCCAGATTTCAGTCTTTGTTTGAAATCTAGGTCCTATTTGCCTAGTAAATGTTTGCCAATTCACTAATATTCGCACAGCGGTGTAACATTTAAAATCTAAATGCTAAAGTGGTGAAGAGTGCCTGGTTTCTGGAGTTGTAGCTGTTTTGCATAAACTAATCATTTCTGGATCCTCAGATGGTACCCACTGCACAGCTGTAAACCGATAAATTGCATTGTGATACCTGCGGTTTGAGCAGTGAAGTGTGGAATTCAAACAGCTCTCTGTTAAAGTTAATTCAACTGGAATTTATTGAGCTCCCCCTAAGTGTTCTGCATTTCCTAGATTTCTGTATCTTGCAATATTAGTTTTTTTCTCATTTGCCACTTTTCTTCTGAGGCTGACCTGTTCTTTTACCCTTCTGAAAATATTGATATGGAGATAATGAAATAACTAGTAAGAAAGTCTGTATC